TATTCTTCTTCTTTGTTCTCCTGAAAAAGAATAGTCAACTATTTGAAAGCTCTCGAGTTTTGGGTCTTATTTTAAGGTATCTAGTCATGTAATGCACAATTGATGGGCATGTGGCACATAAAATCTGCACAATGTCAAGCTCACTTACAGGGATTAATCCATATTTTTAACTTTTCTCATATTCTTTCTGCATTCTGCATGACCATTGTATTAATCTTTATTTTAAGTTTTCTGTCATTCCATCTAAACTTCTACTGTATTAATCTTTATTTTTTAAGCATTGTGTTACTACATCTACTTTATGTTTGTGCAATTTTTAAGGTTGAATAACATTGTATGTAAGTCAGTATACTGAATAATTTTAGAGAAAAATATTTCATTATTATTTAAAATTAGTATTATATATGAAAATGCTAAGTTCAAATGTAAAGCCATGGTATATCACTGAAATGACAAATTTAAAATACTTATCTCAAAAACATTACAGTGGCAAATAATCAACTGAAGTTGAACCTAAATGTTAACATTTTCCTAAATTGAAAACATATTTCCAATAATACTTACCTCCGCTGACACTTACAGCTATAACTCGACCTCCAGGGTTTCAACTTTGCCTATCTAAGCATTGGTCTTTTTTTCGCTTGCTCCAGTCTTCTATATCCCACTCAGTTGCCCTCGGCAATATACTCTCCACCTACTTCAATGCGCCCCCTATCCTGGTACTGTATATAACCACCTCGTTCAGACAATATTTTCACTTTTTCGAGACTGACACCATCGCAGTCTCTAACAATGTTTCTTCGTGGGAAAGAAGGGTGTGGGAAAGTTGCAGGGGAGGTAAGTATTATTGGAAATACATTTTCAATTTAGGAAAAATGTTACCTTCCAAAACATACTTACCATCCAATGACATTATAGTTAGAATCCCACACTGAGAACAAGGAGGGCCCAGTGAGAGCATTATCCATACAAAAAGTGTCTACATAGATCAAGTGGTGTACCAAGATAAAAGTGGTACCTGAGTGGGGGAACCACACTACATCCAGAACAGATATGCTCTTTGCCTGGAACTCAATATTGGTATCAAGGGTGAAATAGTACATGAGTAATTATCATTATAGACCAGCCCCAACCAGATAGCTAAGGTTCCACAACCTGGGGTTGGAATTAAGGGATCTTGGTCACTATATCTCACATTGGTAGCTAGGGCAATTTGAGTAGCCTTAGAGTGATGCATTCCGAACCACTGGAATCATTACGAGAAAGTAAACAACACTGAAGCAGATAAACTTTCTCCTCCACCTGAAGAAGTCTGAAAGACAAAACCCCAAGCTTGGAATGACGGGATCATGTATACCTTACTCAACCAAAAGAACAGAATTCATCCAGTCTGGAATTACAAACATTCATCCTCACTCCCCAACTGAGTGGGCAAAGAGCATTCCACTTGCCCCCGGAATTATGGAGAGAACATGGAACAGTGTGCTCAACCAAGGACCTAGAATGGGACCACTCTGTGCTCGGAATTACGAAGAGATAGTGGACCTCCTTCCATGAACAATATACTAAACCAATATTAATCAAAAAGAAGGGCTATGCACACCCCCAACAGGATAGCTTAGCATCAAATCTGAACCAGTATTACAAGTAGGCTTCCACAGAGGCTGGTACCACTCCTACCGACATCTGGG